GAGGAGCTACCATATTCCTAGTGCGGATACCGCCGCACCCGAGGGAGCCTTATCGTTCCGCAATGTGCCGTCCATTGGGCGTTGGGAGGTGCTTTTCGTCAACGCGAGCCGCCATCTCGGAATGAATACGACGCCTGGAGGGAATTGGACTCCGAGCTTTGAGCCGCCGGCCGAAATAGTCCAGACCATTGTGCTCGCTCGCGAGAAAAGTTTGCCTCCCCCGCTAGACCCGCCGATGGGTCTTTCGCAGCAGCGCCGCAGCCAGATACACACCTTGCTGGACGATGAAATGCAGTTTTGGAAGAAAACTGTCGGTTCCCAGAAGGTTTGTGTCCCACAAACCATGATCTCCATCAAGGAGAACATGGTGGATGCAGCATGGACTGTGTCGGACACGGTGGTAATGGTGACTGTCGCAGAGGACATCACCGAGGAGGAGCGGAGAGGCAGGATTGGGGGGATTGAGATGGACACAGCCGGCCCCGCTATGAAGGAATTTATGCGCTGCGTTCGTCTCCTGCACCCGACCTCTTCTGATCTCAACACACCGGAAGAGCTGCGCCAGGTGCGCGGCCCATTTGCCGACTTGTACCGGCTGCAAGCTGCGGTAGATCGTGCCCCTCACCTTGCATTCCTTGCCCGGCTTCTCACCACCCTCGATCCCGTCATGATTGTCGGTTGGTCAAACACCATCGCCCGGGCCTTCCATCGCTCGGAACTCAGGGATGTGTTTTCCATGGCCACAGCTGCTGACATGTCCGACTTCTTTGGTGGCAAGGGTGCCGTGGTGGAAGATGTTGTTCCGACTTCCTGGTATGCTGCGGGAGTCGAGACCCCAGGGACCACCTTCATGGATGCAGTGGGGATCCCCGTTATCGCACACCATGGGCCGCAAGCTGCCGCGATATCCATATTCATACCGCTCCCGCATGCAGGTGGTCCCAAGCACGATCCTTTCGTCGCCGAGGACCTCCACTGCATCTTCTACACCGTTACCGGTGGCGTAATCGAGCCGGCGAAGAACATCATCGCACACGACCTCTCGGTCAACGGTCCTATAAACTGCATCGACCTCACTCTCCTGACCCTCCGTCTTGTCCGGTTGAGGGACGCCATTATCCAACATATGCAAGCCACTGGTGTGGCCGCCTTGCTACACAATCTGAAACACGTGTATCAGGCAAAACAATCCGGTGAAACGGTGCACTCGAGCGTGGCCTATGCTAGGACTGATATAGAGTGATGCAAAACACCAAACCAACCAACCAACACACACACAACACACAGTGCGGACTTGAGTTCAGGTCTACGCCGCAGTATACGACTAAGATTGAATCAACACTTATTGATATTTGGACGAATCAAACTTCAGAGTCTGTCTAGGACTTGTGGGAGGCAACGATAGTTGATAAACAACTGAAATGGGCTACCAAGTTACCGAAGCAACGGGGTTTATATGGTTTTTATGTGTTCCTAGGAACGGGTTTTACTCCCTAGGACGCTACTGCGATCACTAGGAGTGGGTATAGGGGACTGTGACCACACCGATTCGTGGAGTTCCAACAGACGACCTGTGTGTACAAACGACAGGTACCTTTTAGACGGTATTGCGATGCTACCAATTCGTAGAATGCCAACAATAGACCTCGGCTCTCAGGCACTGAGGTACCTTTGTACTGCGATCGCACCAATTCGTACGATTCCAACAATAGACCTTGGTATACAAACCAAGGTACCTTTAGGGTACTGCGACCACACCAATTCGTGGAGTTCCAACAGCAGACCTCAGTATACAAACCGAGGTACCTTTGCACTAGTAGCTGCAGCTACAAGCGAGCTTGGTACTTAAAGCTTTCGAAGGTAGCCAACAATCAAAGGTCTTATATTGAACAGATACAGAAGAGATGAGATGTTTTATATCAACAAATCTCTGCGGTCAATCCAAGAGTCTACCAATGCCTTGACAAGCAATGCTGCGACCAAAGTCTAGGCAATACTGGGGCGTGATATGCTCCTGAACTGCAGGATCTAGCTGGGGTTTTATACTACTTTGAGAATACATGACAGTGAGATATGAGTAAACAGAAATAATACGAAATGAGTAACTGAGTAGAGAGTATTGGAAATTCGGAGAGACGGCCGGTTATGCCGCCATGATTCGTAGCTGAAACTGCCGAAACAGTCATCGCAATGACTCCTAGGAGTCATATTGGGTATATTTGATTTATCCTAGGGACGGCCGCGCCGACGCGTATGCCGCCGTGAGGACGTTTTGGTGCGGCTTGGTTTATAACACCAAGCCTTGTGTCATCTCGTCGTTGCTCAGCCATGCCGTGGCGCCGAATAGCCACGCAGCATGCTCGGGTATATCTCTCTCGCAGCCAGCTCCCATATGTATTCTAAATATGGTGGCTTTGTCTTTGTTATTTGCCTTTGCAACGCAACGCGTGTGTCACGTGGGTTCTAGACCTATAGCCAGGTCCCGTGGGTTATGCCTGGTGGTTCGTACTTCGTTGGAAGTAACCCTAGGTAGGGTGCGCCACTCAGTCGTAATAGTAATTACTGCCCCTAGGACGGTTGACCATCCTAGACATGCAGCTATCCGTGTGTACGATGTCCCCTAGGGAGGATAAATATCCTATTTAGGGCCAACGCCGTGCCATAAACCTCAACCGTGCAGTCTCTTGGGTTGTTTCCGGATATAATCCTCGTTGTCTGCCTTGGGCTTTGGCATATCTCCTTGGTATGGTGTCTAACTTCGCCGCGCGATCCGCCCCTATATATAGGTTATGGACTGAATCAGACGGTGCTTCCTAGCATATGCCAGCGATCCCGACTCCCATTTGGGAAGAGCCAAGAATCCCACGTACATACACTATTCCAGACCTCTTGTATCATTAACACTCAGTCAGCAGCTCGGAGCTCACTCTGACTCTAATTGTATACCACCGAACAGGGTCCCTAGGGATGGTGACTGTTCCCTTATAGATGTTCCTAGGGAGGTAAGCCGTCCCTAGGAGCGACAAAATAGCTGGTTTACACGCCTAGGCGCAGACCCGCCGTCTCACCGGTATTAAAAAGCTTCGTATGTTGCATTATCACAGCGTGCTGGCCGGCGTCGACGAGGAGAGCGTGACCTGTACTTCATCAGAGGAGGAGGAGGAGGATGGGATGGAGGTGGGTGAGGTTGGCGAGGAGGATGGGATGGAGGTTGACGAGGACGGGGAGGAGAGGGACGAACTCGACGAGGATGGCGAGGTGAACGAGACCACAGATGAGGATATGGGCGTGACTGGGAGGAAGAAAGTGTACCATCACACGGTGCTCGCTGCGACCGGGAAGGAGGCGCGCCGACTCCAACTCAAAGCCATCGAGGAGGATGCCGCAACTAGTCAGGCCCATGGTCGCGACCCGGACCCCTATGGCTATGCCCCATATAACACAAAAATCGGGAGCCCAGAGTTCGCTGAACACTTCCTCGTGCTCAAGGACGGGACAAATATAGCTCGGAGTGCAGGAATTCGAGGTCGCAGCACCGCCGCGAACAAGGCGCAGCTCGCCAACCAGGCCAAAATTGGTGTGTTCAACAAGAATGCAGCTTTAGCTCGTCGTATCCCCAACGCGGACGGCCTGACTCCCATCATGCGTGACGAGCACGACCAACGCGGAATCCTTCTCGCCCAAGCTGTCGACACCGTCATGGATCCTAGGACGATCAAGAATGACGGGCTGCTCAACACATACCGATGGGGTGTATGCGCTGCGTGCGGCGAGGTGGTCGTCGGTACCTCTAGAAACAGCAAGCACGCGTGCAGTTCCACTCGCGACACCACGATGTTGACAGCGGAAATTTTTGCATCGCTTGAGCGCATCGTTTTCGCACACAACATTCTTGATAACCCCGTCTTGTTCGCTCTCCTCGGGACCGAAGGCCCGAAAATCCGCTCAAAAATGTCCTGCAAGTCGGTGGCCGACGTCTTGGCTGACCTGGAGAACATCCAAGATTTGCAGAACAGCCTCCCCCACGACCACCACTTACTCCGGCCTGCCAATTGCCAATCCCTCGTCTACCTCCCCCGATCTCTCAGGAAAGACAAAGGGTTGTGGGTGACGTTAGCTGTGGAGGCATTGTTGCAGGAGCAATCACAATGCCCACAGGCATTTGACGTTGTCACCGCAGAGCAGCGCAATGCCTGGAGCAAGCAGGGAAAGGCGATGGTCGATTGGAATGCGGACTGCACTCGTAAATCTCCACGCCATTTGTCTTTTACACTAGCTAACCAGTTTTTCTCAGGCGAACTCTTCGTCTTTTTTTGCAGCTCGGGCGGAAACCACGGTGTCGTTTTGACAGTCAAGAAAGTCAAGAACAGCGGCCGTCGATGGTTTCTACACATATGCGACCATGGCCATGACGCTATCAAACAACACCGGGCGGCGAATGGAAACACGTCGTACCCCACGGGATATAGTTCGCTAGACGGCCTGAGATGTTGCCCAAATCAACACTTTCATCCAGTCAACACCATCCTAGATCTCCCTGCTCACTACAGCTCTTTCTTATGGCTCCAGCTGCGCTTAGATTTGTAGCTCTGAAAGGTTTTGTCCGATGCACTTGGCTATGGTTTTCTGTAATACAATTCGTTGTAGCGCTAGTTTTCTCTGTTGTAAAGTGACCCTTGAAGTGTAATACAATATTTGACCTGCCTGTGTGGTCAGGAGAGTGTAGAGGTCGGAGGAGACGTGGAAGGACGATCGGCACATTGATGTGTATGTACAGCCACTGATCGGATTCGGTTCTCGATCAAATTGGCCCAATCAGGAAGGTTCGAGCTCTTCTCTCCCTCCAGACTCTCTCTCGCCGCCGCACTCTATAGACTCTGTAACTCAGTGGTAGAGTGTAGGATTGCAATTGAAGGGCTAGCATCCTGAAGTCCCGTGTTCGAACCACGGCAGTGTCTCTTTTTTTTTGGGGGGGGGAAAGCCTCAACTTCGCCGTTTGCGCTCGCGAGCTCAGTGGTAGAGCGCACGATTGCAAAGTATGCAATGATATCGTGATGTCCCGTGTTCGACCCACGGTAGTTTCTCTTTTTGCGCTCCTCTTTGCAGCGGTTGTCCGGGAAAGAGGGAGAAAAGATCCGAGGACAGCTCAAAATGACAATTTGGCAAGACACCATCCCATTTCTCCCTCAGAACTTGCTGTTTCATCCCAAAAATTTGGTTCTGATAGCGACAGATACTACCCAGAATAATGCACGACTCAGATTGTCCATAAATATTCCCGTTTGGGTGGAATATTCGTTTGACCCGTTACCCGCTACTACATTACATGCAGTGGTAGTTTCTCTTTTTGCGCTCTTTTTGGCCATATACGAATTCCATCAGCGCGTTTTGGAAGCGTTTTGGAACTCAGTGGTAGAGTGTAGGATTGCAATTAAACGGCTAGCATCCTGAAGTCCCGTGTTCGAACCACGGCAGTGTCTCTTTTTTGGGCGGGGAAGGACAAGTTCTTTTGGCGAGGAGCTCTGTCCAAAATAACCACGCATTATTATTTTACCATCCGACTGGGCAGCCTCAACTTCGCCGTTTTCGCTCGCGAATCCGTCAAAGTCGCGAACAGCCGTCTTGCGGTCGAAACTGAAACTCGAAAGCGAGCACGACTCCTCAAAGAGCTCGAGCGGGAACAAGATAAGCTCGCGAGCCTTGAGCTCCGGTGCGCAAGCGAACTGCAGAAGCACGGTTCGTATCTAGATGCGCATATGTCTATGTTTAAACCGTCCAACATCTGGAAGAGCCCAAGGCCGAACGATTGACTACGGAATTGAAAATGCTGAAACTCAAGTGCTTCTGGGTCCTCTCTTCGTTTCTGTATATTGTATTCACTTTTTAATGCCAATGATCCAGGTTTAAAGCTTCCCAATCCTCTAAACCAGGAGCCTTGATACCTTTCTTCATAGCGGGCAATTCGTCCGTGTCAGCAAGGTAATTGAGCAGCCAAGACTCGAGTGGGTCGAACACGGCAAACAACTCAAATTCGCGTGTTCGAGCCAGTGTATTTTGTGTCAACAGTGGCGATGAAATCATGTCCTTCAAAAAACGACGGGCTCGGCATTTTACCATCTCGTATGTCAAAGTTCTACAGCGTGGCCTTTTGGTTATAGAGTTCGTACTTGAAGGTGCAAGGGAAGCGAATACGCAGAGTTCCCGCCGCTGATGGAGTGCGTTGGCTATACTTCTGTGGGATTAATTGCGCATTTGTTCAGGTACATTGTAATCCTGCGACATTGCAGCTAAATTGTATGCTAGCGTAAATAAAGAGGTCAAAGGACATGCATCTTTGCAGTCCAGCGCGCATTGTTCGACCCGTCAATCAGGGACGTCCAACTCTTTCTTCCGTTTCAAGTTTCAACAGCCACCCAGTTGATAAAGGGACACTGCCCCCGGGGGCGACCTTATAACGAGAACGCGTGCCGATAGACGCCTATAATCAGGTAAACCTGTCGCCCAACGCGCCCTATTTATCGATCGTTCCACCCGCCCACCCCGCGCCACCAGCCAAGGTCGTTTCTCTTGTTCCTCTCAGGCTGCGTCAGCGTTTTTTCATCGCTGCGCCATGTTCGACCTGGTAGTTGTAGGGGAGGGAGGTGGTTTAGACGAGACCAATCTAAGCGCGTATGTTCCCAACTCCGCGTCTCGACGCGCTTCCAACGCGCCACGTATCACGCTTACTATTGTTTTGGGTCCAGCTATCTATTCAAGCCATCTGCTGCTTCTTGGGAAGATGGAATAGTTGCCGTGGAGGCAGGTTCGTGTGCTGTCAACCATTTTAGAAAACCTGCCCCAATTTTGCACCCAGGTTCGGGTCAAGGAGCCCTGCAGAAACTCCTTCAACGCGACCCTCAGCTTTTCAGTTCACCAGACCAGCCCTCGGCGCGTACAAAGCGGTACTCGGCCTCGGAGATCTACTCGCTCGTGCGGTTCGTCAGATTGTGCGAAACCTGCCGACAGAGTGCTCATATATCGGAGCAGTTGTTTCCTCATCTCGCACGCGCACCTGGACCACGTCAACAGCTTGGTTATATCGGCGGGCTCGCTGGGTGGACCGCGAAAACGACTCTATGCCGCGAAGCAAACCCTCACGGACCTAGAAAGCGTGTTCTCCGACCGCATATGGCCCAACTTGGCTTCTTGGAGCGAGGAGGATGACGACCACAAACTTCTGTACACCGTGTACGTCGTAAAGGTCTTGGCGTCTTGAATGCTGCTTATATTTTCGCCAGCCTAGACATGGATGACGCGTACAAAACCCTAATTCCCGACGTCTCCGTCTGCGGCTTCCCTGTGAGCCATGGCCACAACATAGCAGGCATTTACGACTCTGCGGCATTTTTTATCCGCTATGATCCAAGTGGACACGAATTCCTTTTCTTTGGCGATCTGGAGCCAGACGCACTCTCTCTTTCCCCTCGGACGATCAACGTTTGGCGCGCGGCGGCCCCAAAAATCCCTGCATCACTCTCCACGATATTTATTGAATGCTCGTGGCCGTCCTCTAGAAGCGACGACACGTTATACGGCCACCTAAAGCCCGAACATCTCGTCAACGAGCTAGAGGTCCTAGCCAGAGAGGTCGTAAAGGTCCGAAACGCCGCCTCATCCGCCCGGCCAGCTCGCAAGAAGCAGCGGATGAATCCTAACCCGTCGCCTCCGAGCGATGTGCGAGGAGCCTTGGAGGGAGTGCGCGTGTTCGTTATTCACTGCAAAGACACGCTCGACGGAGCCCCCGACCGACCGAATCAGACTCTCATCATTGAGCAGATAAAAGCGTTGATGGAAATAAAAGGACTGGGAGTAGAAATTTTGCCCGCCCGCCAAGGAATGCGTATTCGTGAGTCCCTTCCTTTCTTTGCGAGTTCCGCACTCATCGCCGTACCAGAGATATGAATGAGCCCTCCGGACACTTATTTATTTCTTCTTGCAACTGTCTCTCCTGACTTGATCATCCGCTGTATAACTAGCCCTTCTGTAGCACTAGTGCTTTCCTCCAAATTGACATTCTTTATGTATGTACCATACGGCTTGTTGTCGTGGTTCGATTATTCATAAGTAATTTCGTTAAAACATATGTATGTATGTACAAGAAGAGGAGTGAAAAAGAAATTCCCGTATGAACATTCTAATTATAAGCAAAGCTATGGTGCGAATAATCCACCAGTAAAAGCGAAACGAGAATACGGAAACAGGGGCTACGACGATGCGTAGAGTTTAACAACACCGTCGGCTCCTGCGCTGGCCATGAAGGGCAATGACGGATGGAACTCGACATCCAGCACCCCTTCACGCGCCTTTTCTCGGTGGGTCGTGCTCTCTTGCACACATGCGCGCGAGCCAAGCAGATCCCAGAACCGCACAGAGCAGTCGTGGCTGCCGGAGACGAGCGAGAAGCCGGCGGGGTCGATTGACAGCGACGTGACGCCGTCGAGATGAGCCAGCATCGAATGTGTGCATTGCCCTGCAAATGTCGTTGAGCCGGGACCATATTTTAGTTACGGAAAACGGACCTGTCACGATATCGAATATCCGGATATACTTGTCCTCGTGCGCAGTAACGAGGAGAGACATCGTGGGATGCGAAACTATCCGGTTTATTTGGGTAGCTGGCGTGCCGTCTAAAAGACGCACGAGTCAGAAGACTTGGAGCGAGGACGGGGATAGTTCAGCGGCGCACCATAACTTATGTCGGTCGGTAACCTCGTCAGCTCCTTCCCATTCTCGATGTCGAATATCTTGACTACCGCATTCTGATATGCGACCGCCACCTTTTTGAGATCGACCTTGAGTGCCTCGACCGCTGTGGCGCCGGGAGCGTCAGTGTCCTCCTGAAGTTCATCAGAGTTATCCAGTCCCGCCCACGCCCATGTGAGCTTCAGCGATCCGCCGCCAGAGGGCCCGCTAACGTCCCACACCTTCACCGTGCCTTCTGCGCCGCAACTGATGAGCGTGCTCTCGTCCCGAACGAGTGCGAGGTCCCAGACAGCGTCGGTGTGTCCGATGAGCTCGCCGCGTGCGCGTGTCTCGTCGTACGGCGCGTATGTCGTATGTGAGGGAGCAGGGAGCGCCCACACCCTGATCGATGAGTCGAGAGATGCAGAATACAAGAGCTGCTTTGAAGGTGCGTGTATCAGTCTCGTGATAGCTGCTGAATGCCCACGGAGAGTCAGTTGTGGTTCAATTTCAGTGGTCGGTCGCGAACTACAGAGACGGGTCAGGGAGTCAGAAAACATTTGTGCACAAGGAAGCGTACGCAGAAGATGCGAGGCCGGCAACATCCATCCGCCATATTTTCACCGTGCAATCGTCTCCACCTGTCGCAAGAGACAGTTCATGGGGGTGGAAGGCGAGGGCTCGAACAGCATCCAAGTGGCTGGCCGACGGGTAAGTATCCCAGCAATAGAAGAACGAATGGGTAGTTTCACGCACTTTCTCAGTGTCCGTTTTGGCCGCCAAACCTTGTTCCCCTCGCCATCGCTGACCACGGACGACTCGTCATCATCAACGTCGCCGTCCTCGTCCTTGCCCTCTTCCTCTTCAGACCGTCTGTCCCACCCCTGCTGGCTTTCTCGTGCGAAACGAGCCTGTTCAGCCTCATGTGACAGTCGCAGCTTCTCCTTCCATTCGCCTGCGTCATCCGGTCTAAAAATCGCGGTCAGCTGGCGGGGCTCGGAGTCGCCCTCCCTGTCCCTCTCTCCAGCAGCATTCGCCGACGGTGGTGGCTGTGAAGGCACCACATTTTGCTGCATCAAGGCAGGGTTCGGGGAAGATTGTTGAGGCTGCTGGGGCATGTGTTGCAGTTGCAGCATTCCTGAGCCGAGGGGGTTGCTCCGTTCTAGATTAGGAACCTGTGGCCCAGTCGCAGCGGGGGCAGAGGAAGGACCTGACATCAAGTTCATGTTGCCGTTCAGCATAGGAAAGTCTTTGCCTGTCTCGGGCAAGAGTTTCCGCGGTCGGCCGTTGAAAGCCATTTGCTCAAACGGCGGTGCGTTTGGAAGGGTGAGCGAGATGTTGCCATTGTTGAGTAAGGGTCGGTTCGGTAACGGATTCATCGCCTGCGGCGACGTGAGATATGATATTTCCTGAAGGCATCTTGAGAGTTTAGTAGTGAGCTTGCGTCTGACACGTGCTAAACCGGGAAGCCTTACTGTTTGAGGTAGTCGCGACTCCGTGCTCTGCTCTTTGGATCCCGACCGGGCGGGGGCTTACCTAGGCCCGCTACGGTTCCCGTGGAAGGGCCATTCGTCCAGTTGGAGCCACCCCATGAGTTTGGTCTCCCTGTCGGACCGACGGAAGCTGCGCCATTGACGCGGCCGTCAGGCAGCGGCGAATCTGAGAGAGAGCTGAATGAGAGAGTGGACCACAGTGGACGGGACGGCTGTACCCTCGCTCCGTGGGGAGCTACCGCTGCTTTCTTCCTTGTGGCTTTGGG